TCTGTCACTAGTCACCCCCTCCCTCACTCTGTCACTAGTCACACCCTCCCTCACTCTGTCACTAGTCACACCCTCCCTCACTCTGTTACTAGAGTGAGGGGATGACTGGTGACAGAGTGAGGGAGGGAGTGGGTAACTAGTGACAGAGGGAGGGGTGACTAGGGACAGAGTGAGGGAGATGGTGACTAGTGACTAGTGACAGTCACCACCTCTGTCACTAGTCACCACCTCCCTCCCTCTGTCACCAGTCATCCCCTTACTCTGTCACTAGTCACCCCTTCCTTCCCTCACTCTGCCACTAGTCACCCCTTCCCTCACTCTGTCACTAGTCACCCCCTCACTCAAATGACAGAGTGAGGGAGGGTGTGACTAGTGACAGAGAGAGGGAGGGTGTGACTAGTGACAGTCACCCCCTCCCTCACTCTGTCACTAGTCACCCCCTCCCTCACTTTGTCACTAGTCACCCCTTCCTTCCCTCACTCTGCCACTAGTCACCCCTTCCCTCACTCTGCCACTAGTCACCCCTTCCCTCACTCTAGTGACAGAGTGAGGGAGGGGGTGACTAGTGACAGAGGGAGGGGTGACTAGGGACAGAGTGAGGGAGGTGGTGACTAGTGACAGTCACCACCTCCCTCACTCTGTCACTAGTCACCACCTCCCTCACTCTGTCACCAGTCATCCCCTCACTCTGTCACTAGTCACGCCTTCCTTCCCTCACTCTGCCACTAGTCACCCCATCACTCTAGTGACAGAGTGAGGGAGGGTGTGACTAGTGACAGTTAAGCAGGGAAGGGGTGACTAGTGACAGAGGGAGGGGTGACTAGGGACAGAGTGAGGGAGGTGGTGACTAGTGACAGTCACCACCTCCCTCACTCTGTCACTAGTCACCACCTCCCTCCGTCACTGTGTCACCCCCTCCCTCACTCTGTCACCAGTCATCCCCTTACTCTGTCACTAGTCACCCCTCCCTCCCTCTGCCACTAGTCACCCCTTCCCTCACTCCCTCACTCTGTCACCTGTCACCCCCTCACTCTGTCACTAGTCACCCCCTCACTCTAGTGACAGAGAGAGGGAGGGTGTGACTAGTGACAGTGAGTAAGGGTGTGACTAGTGACAGTGAGTAAGGGTGTGACTAGTGACAGAGAGAGGGAGGGTGTGACTAGTGAGAGTGAGGGAGGTGGTGATTAGTGACAGAGGGAGGAATGGGGTGACTATCACTGTGTCACCCCCTTCCTCACTCTGTCACTAGTCACCCACTCCCTCCCTCACTCGGTCACTAGTCACCCCTCTCTCACTCTGTCACCAGTCATTCCCTCACTCTGTCACCAGTCATCCCTTCCTTCCCTCACTCTGCCACTAGTCATCCCTTCCCTCACTCTGTCACCAGTCATCCCCTCACTCTATCACCAGTCACCCCTTCCTTCCTTCACAGTGACAGAGTTAGGGAGGGAGTGACTAGTGACAAAGAGAGGGATGGGGTGACTAGTGACAGAGTGTGGAAAAGGGTGACTAGGGACAGAGGGGGTGATTAGTGACAGAGTGAGGGAGGGGGTGACTAGTGACAGTGAGGGAGCGGGTGACAGTGACAGAGTTAGGGAGGGAGTGACTAGTGACAGTCACTCCCTCCCTCTGTCACTAGTCACTCCCTCCCTCTGTCACCAGTCATCCCCTCACTCTGTCACCAGTCACCCCTTCCCTCCCTCACTCTGCCACTAGTTATCTTTTCCCTCCCTCACTCTGCCACTAGTCACCCATTCCCTAACTCTGTCACTAGTCACCCCCTCTCCCTCCCTATGTCACTAGTCACCCCCACTCACTGTGTCTCCCCCTCACTCTGCCACCCCTCAACCCCTCCCTCCCTCACTCTGCCACCAGGTACCCCCTCACTCTGCCACCTGTCACAACCTCCCACACTCTTCCACCTGTCACCTTCTCCCTCATACACTCTGTCACCTGTCACATATGCATTCACACAGACACTATATACAAAAAGCACATGTAGTCATCCAGACATGCACAAGTGCATTCACACAGACTCAAATACAAACATGCATTGATACACAGGTCTTCACAATATACACATCCAAAGGAATGCTGTATTATGAGTTATATTTAACATTTATTTAATGCACATATATTTGGCCTTCAAAGGGCCTGGGATCTAATTTTGCCCGGGGGCCCCAAAGGCTCTCAGTCCGCCCCTGTCTATGTGTGTGAGTCTATTAGTGTATGTGGGGTTCAGTATGTCTGTGTGTGTCAAAAATGTCTGTCAGTGTCTGTGTGTATGTGTGCCTGTATGTCTGTCAGTGTATCAGTATGCCTGTATGTGTGTGAGTCTGTCAGTGTCTGTGTGGTTCAGTATGTCTGTGTGTATGTGTGTTTCAGTATGGCTGTCTGTGTCTCTATGTCAGTACGTCTGTCAGTATGTGTCTGTGTATCTGTATGTTGTCCGTTTGTGTTTGTCTTTTAATTCAGCTCCACAATTTATACAAGTCCTCATGCAAGGGGTTTCCTGAGTCCCCTCCCAGGGGCATTCCCAGAGGGGACTACATGGGGGACTTACAATACAGGACATTTCTCCCATCAGGCACTGCTGCACGAGAGGGATCCTCCCACTGGAATATACCGTTAAGTGGATTATCCCTCCGTGCAGCAGAACTCACAATTCACATTAAATTCAATAACTTCATGAATATCTGGTTCATTTAAACGAATGGACGTTCGGTAGATAGCTGGGGTCTGAGCGCATCATTCGTGAGATTACCGCTCAAATCCCAGCTAAAACAACCGAACGCCACACGAAAAACACATTCACTAACACATAGCCTTAAAATACCGAATACATATAAGGGAACAAAATACCGAATGTCCCGGACCTCCCGAACGGTCTGGAGGCTCAGCGGTGTTCGCGCCGTCGAGTAGCTGTTTTTAGTACCACGCGCTCGACGACCAAACACCGCTGAGGGAACAAAGGATCCAAGATGGCCGACAGCCACATGGTCGGTAGTCGAACGACAGCCACCCAGGAGAGCCTCTAATTACCGATTGCAACATTGTTGCAATCGGTTAATAGGCGCCACACGCCTCTAAGTGTGTGGGCTATTAAATGATATTTTGTTCGGTTCCCGAACGGCCCGCAAAGGTGCCGTTCGTGAAACGAATAGAATCAGCTATCTGCGTTCGGCAGATAGCCCAGGCAGGCAATACATTATTAACATTGCATTACAGTACATGCTGGAACACACAATAGGAGCCCCATACTGGCAACCCTTAAAGCGGCAGTACAGAAATAATGTCCAAGTGGCTAGGTTTGCCATAGCATTGTATGTTTTCATTGTATGTATGTGTCTATCTATATGCGGTCAGTGTGTGCCATTGTTTGTATCTGTTTGTGTATCTGCATGTGTGTCAGTGATAGTATCTGTGTGTCTGTATCTATATGTGTGTCAGTGTGTGTACCTGTATGTTCTCATTGTGTGTATCAGTGTATCTATATGTAGTCAGTGTGTGTATCTTTGTTTCAACATGTGTGTCAGTGTGTGTATCTGTATGTTCTCATTGTGTGTATCTATAAGTGGTCAGTGTGTATCTGCATGTGTCAGTGTGTGCATCTGTATATAATTGTTTGTATCTATATGGAGTCAGTGTGTATATGTGTGCCTGTGTATCTGCATGTGTTAGTTTGTGTATCTGTCTGTATGTGTGTCAGTGTGTGTATCTGTGTATCTATATGTAGTCAGTGTGTGTTATTGTTTGTATCTGTATGTCTGTATCTGCATGTGTGTTTCAGGTTGTGTGTCTGTGTATCTGCATGTGTATCACAGTGTGTGGCAGTGTATGTTTATATTACATAGTTACATAGTTACATAGCTGAAAAGAGACTTGCGTCCATCAAGTTCAGCCTTCCTCACATATGTTTTTGCTGTTGATCCAAAATAAGGCAAAAAACCCAGTCTGAAGCGCTTCCAATTTTGCAACAAACTAGGAAAAAAATCCCTTCTTGGCCCCAAAATAGCAGTCAGATGTCTCCTTGGATCAAGCAGCTATTACCCCACTAATTAGAAATTATATCCCTGTATGTTGTGTTTTACAAGAATTTATCCAATTGCAGTTTAAACATCTGTATAGACTCTGGCAAAACCACCTCTTCGGGCAAAGAATTCCATATCCTTACTGCTCTTACTGTATATGTGCATACATCTCAGTATTCAAACACAGTCCTGCATTGAAACATTAATACTACATGCAAACACGCCTCTGTGTTAAAAACACCAAAATTATATAGGAACACACTCCTGCATACACATAAATACAAGCTTGCATTCAAATGCCAGCACCTCATACGAAAAGACCCCTACATTCACACAAACATACTCCAAACAAAACATGCTTACATTCAAACACTCAAACACTGCTCATTGCTAAATACTACCCTGCAAGCATGGGACAATGATAGATCCCCAGCTGTCAAAGCATTGTTGGAATTGTATGACAGATGGGGATCTACCGTATGGCCACCCTTGCGATAGCGGGGCCCAAAATAAGCATTGCACCAGTACCCTTTCAAGTTTAGTTCTGCCAGTACATTGCGGTGGAGGGCGTGACTGCATGCCAGGGAGTGGAATGGGGAGCAGGGTGCCCAAGTAAATGCTTGCCCAGAGCCCAATCGCTATTAAAGATGGCCCTGCACAGCTGGATTGTATTGGTGGGGGGCAGCTTACGGGACCTATTATCACTGTATCACTTATATGACTCTGTATATATAGAGTGTTTCTTCTATGGTTATGACATTTGTATTGGCACGTGACTTTTGCCAAAACATTTGCCATATTACCTTGTCTTTCAATAAATGTTTGGTAGCACACACTACCTGGTTTCGCAGACCTCACTTTCTTTGTTTTGTCTAACTTTATTCTACCATTTTATTTATATAAAAACCAAACCACTAGTTGGAAATGCATGAAACTTGACATAATGGTAGAGACCCATAATGCACTATGTTCTTTGCAACATGACAGCCATATGCTGTCTGGCAGCCATCTTGGTTTTGGTGATCAATTTTGCACAATAATAAAACATTTTCCTCTCCACAACATATATAGATGTACAAATTGATGTGTAAGGTTTTGTTGAAACAATAACCATTAAATATGCCAGAGGACTTTCCTATTAACAGTTTGAGAGAAGGCTTTCCTATTGCATATACTTTAACCATATGTCAGTGTGTCCAAAAGAAACATTGTCCACAATCTATTACAAAAAAATGTTTTCAGGCCAATAAATGAAATACAAAGTCCAAATGGGGAGAGAGTACACTAAAACACTTGCACATTTAATACTATAAGGGCACTTTCTCAGAGACGCTTAGGAAGTACCGTAAAAGTATGAAACGCAGGCATTTGAGAGTTGGTCGATCCTACCCCTCGTTTCAACTTGAAATAAATGTTTTACTTTTTTTATTAAGCGATTACTTTAAGCATCATAAAGTTACAATGCATGGTTACAATGCTAGGGGTGTGCTGGTGCCAATGTGGCAAACTATTTTGCAATGGTCTGCCCTATTAATTGTGTCCCACCAAGCACTGAGCTTCCTCTTAAGTCCGGTGATCAGTTTATTGCTCTCCGTTAATGAATGACTCTCTGTGCATAGAATATGCACAGAATTGACATTAGCCTGATGGTGCAGCCTGAGGTGCAGTTACACCTCAGGCAGCAATTTTAAATATCTCAGTGTGTGCATTGTTTCAAACTGAAATGCAGAACATACAGACTTCAAGCACCATTATAACTTCACATCACTGAAGTGGCCATGGTGCTTGGAGTAACCCATTTAGATTGTGAAGAATTGCACTTCTTTTCAGGATATAACCTATTTTTTTTTCTTTTAAAACCAAAGAGTATATGGTTATGGTTATGTTGTGACCTAGATTCACATTCAATTGGTCATTTGATTTGGTGGTCTACTGGGTTGCTCAACATTTTTCAAATATCTTCTTCTATAAAATGATTTGCTAGAACAATGCACAATTTGGCACACATGTACACAGTTAGGTTCTCTACCACACTTGAACAAAGTAAGGTGATATCAAAATCAGGATGACTATTCCAAGCCAAGTACATTCAAACATGTCCTAGAATTGCATAACGTTTATTTGACTATTGAACTATGCTTCAACTTGCTAAACATTTATAAAAAAAAATGCAACATATGTGCATGTGACAGATTAAATAAAACACTTTTCCAGAGAACTGGCTTCCTATTCCATCAATCATCACAGTGAAGTTCCTGAGTCCTAAATATGTCTTAAAGGGAAACTCCAGTGCCAGGAAAACAATCAGTTTTCCTGGCACTGCAGGTCCCCTCTCCCTCCCATCCCC